TGGAGAGCAGCTCTGCATTGCTAGGTTATTGTTGAGCTGAGCTGATGTTAATGATTTATGCTGTTCCTTACACCATGTAAGCTACTAAACAATTTAAGAAAAAAAAAAAAAAAAAGAAGCAGCAATTCCTTAATGCTTAAATATTTTTTTTTGCATTGAGTCCAGCTTTGAATAAGGAAGGGCTGAAATGAGAATAAGAGAGAAAAAAATAACTCTTGTGAAGTCCAGAAGATTTTGAATTAAAGATTCTCTTTGGGAATAAATTTGAGATTAGTATTTAAATGCCAAGTGCTGCATCCTTTTAAACACTCAGTCTTAAGCAACTGGTTTAATCAGATATACCACCATATCCACTGAGTCCACTCAGGCAACAATGCTTGCTTTCTTCCAGTTTGTCTGACTGTGCCTCTTGTTCTCATGCTGCCATTCAACTGCCTTTTCTTCATCCTCCTCAGTTAACTGTAAACTGTTGATATTTTAAATAAAAGTTGATTCTCTGTAATTGCCACTTTATATTAAGCCCAGCAACTGACTCAATACCCAGCCAAGGTCCAGAGACAGCCCTGCCCCCAACTTGGCAGGTTATTTTCTGCATTTGTTATGTTGAAGGAAGTAGACTGTCTTACTTCTCTGTTTTGCAGAAAATATCTAGACAAAAGCTCACTTTGCCAGCTTTATTCCTTTCCTAGCTGTCCATTTCTCTGTGTGCATCAACACGATCAGACACATCAACACGATGGACATTTCAGTAGAACTTGTTTTCCGCATACACAACTCAGCCAGCTTACATGTAACACTGGCAAAGTGATGGCTGCCTTCCCAAGATGGCTGAGGTGGAGACATGACAGGACTTTCACTTCTGTCAAAGGAAAAGAGGAAAATATCTACACTTACAGTACTTTGGTTCTTAAAAAGATATGGAAGCTGTTAGCGTGCCTGTGCCACTGAGACCCCAGGGCAGCGTACCCACTGCAATATAAACCCTGGGGAAAAATACAGGAGGACTGTTTGGAGATGCTGATGAATGTTATGGTGTGAAAATTCAGTCATAAGAACTAATGACTGTCTCACTGACAGTAAAATTCTGAAATTTAAGGGCATTATTTCAAGTTTATTACAGAAGACCCAAACAATAAATTATTACCCCTAGTTTTTAGAATGAGCATCTCTCTTCCTGATAAATGAATAGCTCTTTGAGGTTTATGCACCTTTTCATACTTATCATTATAGCAGGGGTCATAAAAAGGGATTGCAGCGGCAGTGTGCTTTAGTTGTTAAATATATATATATATTTTAAAAAGCCTTGTACAATTCTGTGTGCACTTACTTTTTAGGGGGAAAAATGTCATTCTTATACACAGCTTCACTACCTATGTAAACTATGGATCACCTGCTCTTCCAGTTCATGTGGACCTAGTTTCCCTGATACAAAAGAAACAATTCTAACCTATGGCAGCTGAGGATCTGGACTAGTCCATTTGATCCATGAAGTAATGAATTTCTTATTGTTCAGGGGCTGTATTTGTTTCTGGTTTTGCATCACAGTCTTTGGAACCCTCCATGTTTACCGCTGGCCTCTCTTTTGTCTTCCCTTTAGTCTCTGGCCTTTCAGTTCTGCTTCCTATAGTAATACAAGTCTTTATGTCATTGAAAATTAACAATACCAAAGCAGTGCCCTGCCAGAGCAAAGCAGATCAATGACCCAGGAGCAGCATGTTCCAGCTCAATGGTGCACAAGTCATTTTAACTTCCACTCTCCAGTGCTCAGCCTCCAAAGGAGCAACCCTTTTGCCCGGTATATTAACTTCTGGAAACTCCTTGTTAATCACTGTGGCTGCAGTTCCTGCTCTGAATTTTCTGCTAAGACCTGAGTGCAGCTTCTCATCAGGCTAAAACACTTTTCTTTTGCCTTTCTTTCCATCTCATTGTGTGCTGTCAGTGAGATTAGCAGCATTGCTGTGGTGTTCTGTATAGTGGTACTGTGATGTAGTGCTGACAGTTATGTTTACCTTAGGAAAACCAGACTAACTATTGGAAAATAAGAATTCTTATGAAGTGAAGCGACACTGCTTTACTAATAGAACAAATCTTATATTACCAAAAAAAAAAAAAAAAGAAAAAGAAAAAGAAAAAGAAAAAAAAAAGCCATATATACAATGGTCTCCAAAATATGTAGAAAAATAGCATCATCTGAGAGAATAGTATTGTCAAATTTTTTCTTTCCTGGCCTTCTTAGAAAGAATAGAGTCTTCAAATTCATTATTAGATGGATGGCATATCTAAAAGCAGTAGTCAAAATTCTGCATGCAGACCTGAACTAGAACGTATTGATGGGGCTAAGATCATAGTGATCCCTGGACTTAGAGGGTGCCGAATCTTCCCATGACTTTGGAATTACCACGTAGCAGTTTGGCACAGGGGTTCAGAGGACACTTGGTTTGGAGCTGCGCCTTCCTTTGTATTCAGCCCTGAAGTCTGACTCCTTTCATCAGGACTTCATGGATTTGTGGGGTGTGAATGCAGAAGCAGTTTAACCACCAAGGCAAGAACTTTTCAGCTCAGATATTTCAAACTGTATTTTTGCCTACAAAAAAGGAAGTTATTATAGATTTGGTCTAGGGAGACGTCTCAACCTTTTTCTCAAAAAAAAAATGTCTTTTTGTGATACTGGTGGGATTTATCATCGCAAGAAGTAACAACTGAGGCTCTAGAGAAAGATTTAATGCTGTTTCATGGAGGATTTGTATATTTTGAAATTTGATCTTCCTCCAAGTCAGAAGGAAAACAAGAGTATTTAAGTTTTTATGAAAGAAAAGGGAAACTTAATGCCAGGAGAGTCTGTTAAAGCTCTGGCATCTCCCTTCCAAAGCTGACCCGCAAGAAATGGGACAGCTTTCCGCAACGTCTTTACTGAGCTGGAATATTCATCTCAAGCATTAATAAAATAACAAGATAAGAGAATTCCAAGGGGGAAAAGTTGTCTATAGGAATTTATTGACCACAGTGTGAACACAGCTTTTCACTGAAATCACAAGATACTAACTCTTTTCCTCAAGGGAAATTAGAGCTTTTCACACATTCTTCACTGGGGTGCTGAAAGAGGCAGGAGAAACAGAGGACTATCACATTTATAAATAGCTGAATTGGAAAAAAGACAAGTCACAACAACACATAGTTTAGAGACATGTTATCCTTCTTTCACTGTAGTGGCCTCATTTCCAGCCACGGACGCTCGGTCTGAATGGCCAGGCAGCCATGGTGTGGCGTGTGGCACGAGGCCATGGTTGTCACACTGGTCCTCACCAGCCTCACTGTCCCAGGAAACCTCGGTCAAATTTATTGTCATAGTATAAAGCAGCCGTATTGTTTTACCAGGATGCAGAGCTTTTACAATAGATTTCTCTCAGGATCTCTTTCCGTCCAGTGTGGAGGTGGCTGTGGGGCCACAGGGTGGTGCGATGCCCTCCCTCCCTAACCAGCCCCATCCTGCAGCCCCCAGTGAGGTGAGCTGGGCAGGGCCAGGGACCATGACCGTGACCAAGGCTGGCCACAGCCCGGCCATACCCTGGCCTGGGGGAAGACCTGAAGCAGGCCTGGGCCCGAGGGCAAGGCCCCAGAGCTGGCGGCAGCCCCCAAGGAGGTCTCTCCCCAGCTACTCCCTCACAACTGCTGGGGCCATGGTGGAGGCTGCACCCGCCACTGCAGGGCCGCATCACAGGGCACCACGGGGAGAAGGGCCTGCACAAAGGCAACACCCCAGCGTTGTTGCAATATTTCTCCTTTCAGCTGCTACACTGGCTCTAACGGGGGTCTTAAATCCCCTGGTGAGGACCAACCGGTCAGAGTGGGGATGTCTCCTGTCACCACGGCTGTATCGCTGACAGAGCCAGGTGGGGTTCAGGGCAGGGGCAGCTGATGGCAGCTTTCACTAACATGGTGCACACCGAGCTTCCCGGTGCAGGCCAGGGCAGCAGCCCTTGTCCCGTCTGAGCAGCAGCAAGCTGGCGGGAGCGGGGTTGGTTTGGGCACCCCCGGGGTTGGGCCACCAGCAGGAGCAGGGTGTCTGCCATGCCTGGGTGAGCCCAGTGGCACCTCCCCTCACAGCTGTGAAAAGGGACTGGGTCTGCCCTGCCCTGGGGACAGTCTTCCAGTGCCCCTGGAAACGCCGCAGCCCATGGCGGTTCCTGTGGAGAAACCACAAAACCCACCGAGGACAAAGGAATCCATCATTAGCTTCAGACTGAGAATAAATAATACTAATAATATGTAAAGAGCATCAGCTGGATGTGGAAACGAACTGTCGCTTCACTGTGAAAGATGCTCTTGCATATCCAAGAACATAATTCACAACAATATCCTTAAAAAGATAGCAAGAATTTAAATGCATGTGTATGCTTGGGTATTTAATGCACCATGCAGGCATCATATTTCTTTCATATTCTAAACACAAATCATAGCATCTTCTTTAATGAGCAGAGATCCATGGCAATGATGAATTTTTATGGCAAATAGCACTACTGTGCCATGCTTCTTCATTAAAGCCCTGATTCAGCAAAGCATTTAAGCATATGCTTAACTTTAAGCATGTGAGTAATCCCCAAAGTTTCTGGTGCTGTGTACATGCTTAATATTCACTAGATCCATAAGGCATTTGCTTGAATTGGGTCATACATATCATATATAACAACCCTGTATGTACAGGATATCCTGCCTAAAACAACTGGTTAAAATGTTAGATGCTTCATTATCTCTGCATTAATAATTTTAATTTTCGCTGCCTCTTTGATTTGTGAAGAGTGAATGTGTATGCACACATGAACTCAGGACCTGAAAAAATTATGAAGGTAAAAAAAATAAAGGCACATTGTGGGTTTGGGACATCTATAATAAACCTGAGCTTCATCAGCATTTCTAAGTTTTTTAACCAAGAAATATTGATTCATGTTTATTATATTTTATGGCACTTTACAACAATTTATAACACTTACATTAAGGAATAGATGGGCCGGGATAAAAGCCAATATGGGTATGAAAAAGATGAAGTGCTGTCAGGAATAGCAACTTTCAAGTATCAGGTACAGCCTTTGTTTTCACACTTTATCTCAGCTATTTAATATATGGTGATTAATGATTAATCATAATTAATTTTAAAATACAAATGCTAGAAAAAGACATGCTGTAGAATGGTCACCTGAAGAACGTCTTTGCAATGATATTGTTTCAATATAAAGCCAAATGTCAAATGTCCTCTAGGCATCTGTAACAAAAGAATAAAGCCGTAATGATTATTGTGCAGAAACACTGTTGAAAATGTTCAAGAAACAATGAGCTTAGATTTCAAAGATGAACTAACCACTTTTTTTTTTTTTTCCATCAGAGCTGATCATCTTAGAAATCAAGAGAAATTAGTTAGAAAATCAGTTTTGTGCACAAAATCCCTTGTTGCTATGTTACCATAGATATTTATATAAGAAAAAGTCTCCAAATGTGAGCCAAAAATCATGTAAATATTCATAAGCCAGGTAAAACAAAGAAGTAACTAGGAATATGTGGAGTCTTCACCAGGGGTTTTCTTTGCACTGTACAATTATCTAGTCCAGCTGCTCTAGAACCAGCAGACCCATTCATTTCTGAGCTAAATGATGGGGTTTTCTTCTTCTGCCATCCAAGCTGGCAGATGTGGTCCAGGTTCTCAGGAGTTCTGGAAGTGCTGAAAGATACTGTGAAACTGAAATACAGTTGAGGCTGCTTTGTAAGTCTGCCCAAGGCACAACAAATTGAAGAAAATGGAAGGTATAGACAATATTTTAAAAATAGATGTAGTACATCGATGTCTAATTTTGTGTGCTTCTACTATCCTCCATTCTTAAATGGAGAACTCACTGCCTGTGAGAAAGGCACTGTGATAATCCCAAGGTAATAAGACAGCAAAGAAACATATTTGCTGTTACAGTTTGGAATAGTAGATTTGTTACTGCAGATGTTAGAAAAAGCTTGTAAATGGTGAGAGTCCCAATCTGTAGTATACGAAGCCTGTTCCTCATTTCCCAAGGCTGCTAAATTCATTCTTCGACATATCTTGATTTGCTCTCTTTAGGGACACTGGATTTTTCCTTTGAGCTTTGCCCATCTATTCGTCCCTTTTCTGTGGCCACCTTGTGCCCTTTCTTCATCCTTGCACACCTTTCTGGAGGCCCGTAGGGAAAAGATATGAATGTCAGGCATTTTCCAATGTGGAAAATGCTAAATGAACTGTACCCTTATAGGCTTGTTACCCTGTGAAGGCAGCCTGTGCTGTAAGTATGTAAATGTACAACAAAATGATAAAGAAATTGTGTACATTTTGCTCACGTGATTCATTAGTTTGGCAGCATATATTCTGGGAGCATGCTATATTTTCAGTGTCATCAGACATGAAATGACGTTGTGCTTTGAACTAATGCATGAGATTGGTACAGTGATAGAAAATCAGCTGAACACAACAAATGTAAAATAGAAGACAGAGGATCCAGTAAAAGAGAAGACTTGAGATCCACTAATAGCCGTCTGACAAGGGGAGCTGTGTGGATTGTCTTTTGATGGAAACTGAAGAGTGTCCTTTGTGACGCTACAGTGCCCAGCTCTCTATTTCCTCACCTTTCTGTTGTCCTAGTCATCACTGCAATAATTTTAGCTAGTGAGGGCATTTCATGTCGTCTTCTTAGTTGTGATGATGGCTGGGACCTAATGTTTAGCAAGGTGTATGAGCAAATATCTGTCACACAATCTATAACAGCACAAAGTGTAACTTAAGCAGAGACATCTCACACATTCTACACGATCAATCAGGAGTATATAAATACCAACATATAAAATCTAGCTTTTATGCTTGAAGGTATTGCCAAAACGTGGCTTTAAAATTACTATTGCAAAGCAAGTTTGGGTCCTAGTCCTCCTGCCTGATCATGGTACACAGGAGTCTTGCATCTGTTCACGGGTTTTATTCTTTTTTCTCAGTCACAGCACTTCAGTGGTCCACCTACACGGAGCAGAATGTAAGACTGGGGCCCAAATTTATGCACCATCTGCCCTTGGTCGTGCATGCCAACTTTTGTAAAAATCAATCACTTTATCTCTCTGAAGAGCTCCCACATGAAAAATGCCCTGATGTAAGTTCAAAACTTACAATGCAATATTATTTTTTAAAAAATATCTGTTTTTCCTGGGTTTTTTTTGCTTGTACTAATATTCAGTATGACATTATTTTGGGTGGAAGATGGCAACTCAGCCTGAGGCATGACAAAATAGCCAGAAACACACCACCTGCTGTGCCCCATTGCTTTAATATTGTACTGTTTAATAAGAAAATGACCCCAAGTGCCTGGATGACAACTCCAAAATGGACCATAAATATTCTGTACGTAAGGAAAAGCTGAAAGCTAAAGTACACTGCATAATATTGCTATGGTGCAAAAGGGAATAGGAATACATTCAATTTGCCTAAGTATCTAGCAGTGACAGCCACTAACATTTGTTTAGGAGAAACACCAAGTGGATGTCTGTTTGTTAATAAATGAATGAAAAGAAATATGGATTACTGTGCAAATGGACATTAGAGGAGCACAGATTTTTGTTTGATGTATAAGACACATAAAGAATCCAGTTCTGGGCACTGCTAAGCGATTCTTGCAAAATGCTGAGCCTCTGCTAATTTCAGTAGGAGTTGAGCAAACTCAGCACCTGGCAAGGATGGGTCTATCTATATTTAAATATGGAATGAACACTCATCCAAGTGGATTCACTTATGATAAACTGATGCAGCCTAGAAATTACATGTTTGGTTAAATTGGGGTAATCACAAAGAGAGAGACGCTCAAATAAGCAGTGATAATTGGTACAACAATGTCTGTTTCCTCCTTCTGATCTTGGGCCCTCCCTGAGGATTCTCTCCTACCCTGCATTAATTAAGAGAAACCATGTGACATTTCTTGCAGCCTTTGACACCAGGACGACCTTTCCCTAGGTTGCTCATGAACTCCTGCTGACATCAAACACGCTTTTTACTGTACAGGACCCTTTATCCACCAGACATTCATAAACAATACTGAATAATATTCCCAACCAATTATTAAAATGCACAAAATAAAGTTATGCTGTTATGATAGAGGACTGAATAGTTCATAGGAAATAATTTGTTTGACAAACAGGAGCTTTATTTCAGTGATCCAAGCACTTTTTAAAAAACATGTTCCTCTCTTGAAATCATGCATTCAGTTGCTGCAAATAAGTATTGGTTGTTAGATTACTCTCAAGACATCTGTCATGAGCGTGTGGCATTTAAACCTGCTGCACAGAAGGGCCAGGGGTCCCAGTTTTGCTTCCTGAGTGGATATGTTTAACTCTTTTGAATCTAGCTCAATGTGTAAAAGTAGGTTCACTTTATTGTTCCTTCATACTTTCTAAAATATTTGAAAAACTTTAAAAATAATCATTTCAGATTTTGCTAAGCTGTTAGGGCACTTGTCTCCTAGAACATTAAGGGAAATTAAATACAGAAAGAGCACAGATGTAGTCAAGACAGATGGAACATTTATCTTTTTTCCCACTTATCTGCAGAGCAGCTTCTGACGTGTTCACCTCTGTTTAATCAGTCACATTCTCAACATTTTATTACTTCGAGAGTTTGAAACAGCACGGTGTTGCATGTTGGGAGATATTCCCAGAACTTTAAACTTCCACCAAAATTACAAGAGGAATTTCTGTAATTTGCCAAAAAATAAAACCCTAACCAACCAACAACCCAGCAGCTGAGAAAAAGCAAATATGTGTGTAACTGCATACCTAAGTACTCCCTCGGAGTATCTGTATAGCCAGCAAACACAAGGCACTGGCATCTGCTGTGGGAACATGAGACCTTAGCGTGGGCAAACTGGAACGGGCCATGTGAGGCCGAAGTTCATGTTGCTTGTGCTGGTGACTCTCTGTGAGACACCTTGACTCCAGGTTATCTCTGAAAGGTACACACGCTGTTTGGCACATGTTCCTAGTATGCCAGAGATTAAAAAATAAAGGGTGGCGAGAGAGGCAGCATTAAGCTACCCCCAAGTATACCCTCTTTGAAAATATATGTCTTCTGGCTCTATGTAGAAAATGTCCTGCCTGGTAATGGGTGGCATCACAGAGAGAAGCAGCACTAAATACCTGTTAATAAAACAGGAATAAAAGCAGTCAGTTAAGACGTTGCCACTTCTGACTGACTTTGCTTTTAATTCTGTACATGCCGGCCCCTGCAACAAACAGCTTTCCATAAACTGTAGTTTATCCTGATGAAACTCCTCCCTACAGTGATTTGCAGTGCATTTACGGTGCAATTATCTTTCCCTGTCATTCTTGTTTGTGCAAGCTGAGTGTGTCAAGTAAAGTAAGTGTGTTTAAGTAAAGCCAGAGAGGAACATGGGTAAGGCTGGGGTCAGTTCCAGCTCCCAGGGATCTTTCCAATATCCTCCGAGCTCTGCCTTGGAGCCATCCTCAATGTGGCTCCTGCAATGCTGTAACGCAGAGCCTCATTGTAAGAGAACTTTATGCCATGCTGTCGCAGGGAGGAGTAGGTACATTACAGCTCTGCACAAATATGCAAGTGTAGGAATGTCCCGCTGGCTGTCAAAGGACAGAGGTCCCAACTGGAACATGGGGTAGCCCTGGGTCACAGTCTGGACTCTTGCCCTCACAGACAGTGCTGCTGAGGAAGGCACATGAGTCTGCGTAGCTGTGGGGCCCCAGTTAGAACAACAGTGTCCAAAACACCGAGAGAAAATATCCGCTGCGATCATGTCTACATGTGTTTGATTAAGTTCTGTTCCATGCCATATCTTTCCTAAAATCATTTCACTATCACATTCTCTGATGTTCAATTTTATGTTGCTTGTACTGTAAATATTTTCTGGCATATCAGGCTGTTTGGGTGAGTCACTGTAACAGAATGGCTATGCCACAGGGAACTAATATCCCTTTTGCAGTGTATTGTTGTTCTAGTGAATGCACCAGGAGAAGAAACTTGTGTGGGTGGTATCTGGATCGCCCTTTTACCTCTGTTTTC